CCCCAAGAGACTCCAAAAGGCTCCACGACGGACTCCGGGCGCCCCACGAAGACACCATAAACCATAGCAACGGCCCGGGGGAACGGCAGGACGGTCCTAAGAGGGCTCCAAAACGTGTCTAGAGGGGCCTCACAGGCTGTCCGGACAGGCCACGCGGGGGACGATTGCTGCCGCCCCAAGGGGTCGGCGGTGTGGCGTAAGCCAATGAATAGTGAGGACGAGAGCGCGATTTGGGAATACACTGTGAGTATCAGGCGGAAGCCGTTGTTGTCGTAAACCGGCGGCCAGGGGCCCAGTTTGAGCCGAGTGACTTTCCCTGATAAAAACCGGGTGCGAGCCCTGGGGGAAGCACTTCAATTGAAATTACCCTGGCGACGTACCCAACCACTGCGCAATACGGGGCATGAGTAGCTTGGGAAACGTTATACGGAAGTGATGACGTGACCTGGGCGCATATACTTCTGCGAGCGGCATTCGTGAGGCTCGCCCCCCCCCAAGGATTGCGAGGTCCCGCTCAGATCTGCGTGGTGCCTTGCTCCGCTGGACCCGACACCAGCCTTCGAAAGTAGCGACGGTTTCGCAGATCACAGCCCCCCAGGGACGGGGAGGTCCCGCTCAGATCTGCGCGGTGCCTGACTCCGCTGGACCCACCAGCAACCCTCGAAAATGGCGACAGCTTCGCAGATCGCAGCCCGCGAGGTCCCGCTCAGATCTGCGCGGTGCCTCACTCCGCTGGACCCACCAGCAGCCCTCGAAAGTGGCAACAGCTTCGCAGATCGCAGCCCCCCAGGGACGGCGAGGTCCCGCTCAGATCTGCGCGGTGCCTCACTCCGATGGACCCAACACCAGCCCTCGAAAGTGGCGACAGCTACACAGATCGCAGCCCCCCAGGGACGGCGAGATCCACAGGCCTGCGCGGTGCCTCACCCCGCTGGACCCACCAGCAGCCCTCGAAAGTGGCGACAGTTTCGCAGATCGCAGCCCCCCAGGGACGGCGAGGTCCCGCTCAGATCTGCCGCGGTGCCTCACTCCGCAGGACCCACCAGCAGCCCTCGAAAGTGGCGACAGCTTCGCAGATCGCAGCCCCCCAGGGACGGCGAGGTCCCGCTCAGATCTGCGCGGTGCCTCACTCCGCTGGACCCACCAGCAGAACTCGAAAGTGGCGACAGCTTCGCAGATCGCAGCCCCCAGGGACGGCGAGGTCCCGCTCAATCTGCGCGGTGCCTCACTCCACTGGACCCGACAACAGCCTTCGAAAGTGGCGACGGTTTCGCAGATCGCAGACCCCAGGGACGGCGAGGTCCCGCTCAGATCTGCGCGGTGCCTCACTCCGCTGGACCACCAGCATCCCTCGAAAGTGGCGACGGTTTCGCAATCGCAGCCCCCCAGGACGGCGAGATCCCGCTCAGATCTGCGCGGTGCCTCGCTCCGCTGGTCCCACCAGCAGCCCTCGAAGCGACGTTTTCAAGATCACAGCCCCCCAAGGAGCGAGTCCCCCACTCAGGATGCTCACTCCGCTGGACCCACCAGCAGCCCTCGAAAGTGGCGACACTTTCGCAGATCGCAGCCCCCCAGGGACGGCGAGGTCCCGCTCAGGTCGCGTGCCTCACCCCGCAGGACCCACCAGCAGCCCTCGAAAGTGGCGACGGTTTCGCAGATCGCAGCCCCCCAGGGACGGCGAGGTCCCGCTCAGGTCTGCGCGGTGCCTCACCCCGCTGGACCCACCAGCAGCCCTCGAAAGTGGCGACGGTTTCGCAGATCGCAGCCCCCCCCCAAGGACGGCGAGGTCCCGCTCAGATCTGCGCGGTGCCTCACCCCCGCTGGACCCACCAGCAGCCCTCGAAAGTGGCGACAGCTTCGCAGATCGCAGCCCCCCCAAGGACGGCGAGGTCCCGCTCAGATCTGCGCGGTGCCTCACTCCGCTGGACCCACCAGCAGCCCTCGAAAGTGGCGACGGTTTCGCAGATCGCAGCCCCCCCAGGGACGGCGAGGTCCCGAGCAGATCTGCGCAATGCCTCACCCCGCTGGACCCACCAGCAGCCCTCGAAAGTGGCGACGGTTTTGCAGATCGCAGCCCCCCAGGGACGGCGAGGTCCCGCTCAGATCTGCGCGGTGCCTCACTCCGCTGGACCCACCAGCAGCCCTCGAAAGTGGCGACGGTTTCGCAGATCGCAGACCCCCAGGGACGGCGAGGTCCCGCTCAGATCTGCGCGGTGCCTCACTCCGCTGGACCCACCAGAAACGGCGAGGTCCCGCTCAAGCCTGCGCGGTGCCTCACTCCGCTGGACCCACCAGCAGCCCTCGCAAGTGGCGACAGCTTCGCAGATAGCAGCCCCCCAGGCAAGATGCACACACAAGAGGTACCGCAGGCAAGATGCACACAAGAGGTACGCACAAGGCAAGAGGAGACAAGAGGGAGGCGCGAGGAAGGGAGGAAGGACGTGCGAGCAGTGCTCTATTCAAAACGAATAGCCAACCAAGGAGGGTTGGGAACAATACAAAAGTCACTGGAGGGGGGATCAACAATCCGCCGGCCCCCTTGGGGGGGCCACCAGGCTGCGAGGATTAAGGTTGCTGTTCCCTGAACCCGTTCCAGGTTCCAGTTTCCAATGTTGCAGTATTGCTGTCTGCTTCCTACTGTAAACTGTTACTGTCCGCGCGAGGGGGGGAGCCGAAAAGGGCCCTGGTTAGCGTCCCCCGGGAGGGTTCTCAGAATTCCTGAGGGGGCGTGGGACACGCAAAAATACTGAAGACTCGTGCCCCCGAGGCTATAACCCCTCGCAAATTACACTGTGTTTGCGCCCCCGAGGCCCCGATCCCTCGTACACTACATAATATTCGCGTCTCCGAGGCCACAATCCCTCGCAATTTACGTCGCACTCGCGCCTCCGAGGCGACGATCCCTTGTAACTTACACCAAACTCACCCTTCCGAAGCTACGCACCCAGCCCCAAGCGGCTGCCCTCAAGCGACACCCCTTCTCCAGATCGGAAGGACAAGTTTTTGTTCTGTTTGAAACATGTTTCGGGATGCGCTTTTCGATTTCCCCGCTGTCTCCTAAATTCCGCGCTGTACCCGCAGCCGCAAGTCTTCAAGAATAACGCCACGCGCTACTATATCCCCAGATGACATCATGCAACCCCTGTTGTGCCAAGAGGGCGCCCAATACACAAGAAGCGGGAAACGCCCTGAGAAGGCAATGAACCCTTCGACAACAGCTCCAACATCTCAACGTGTTTTGCTCATTGCCAGCCGTCCTCGCGTGACGTTCCCAGATGTCTCCAAATCGGCGCCCAGACATCCCAAAACAGCTCTGATATGTCCAGTTCTGATGGAGAGGGGGCCGGCGGCAGAGGGCGAAGCCCGTACGGATGATCATTCTTCAATAGTGAGAGTTCAACAACAACAACAACAACAACAACAACAACAACAATAATTTTAAGACTGTGCGCCCTTATCTGCTCGAGTGTCCAATAACGCGTATTTCCCAAACCCTCGATACCCGCCCTCTTCGTCTTCGATCGAACCCCTTTTGGGGGGTATACCTTTCTTCCCTGCAGGCCGGGCCCGGGCAAGCGGCGGGGCGGCCGCGGACCGTCGGCCTGGCCAGCGGCAGCGCTGATCGGCGGGGCGGCCGCGGATCGTCGACCCGACCCCAAGAGGGACGGACAGGGAGCCGACCACGACGACGACGACGACGACGACGACGACGACGGCGACGACGCCGACGACGACGACGACGACGACGGCGACGACGACGACGAGCGAAAGCGAGAGCGAGAGAGAACGACAGCAGGGCCACGAAGGACACAAAGTAGGCCACGGAGGGCGACAGCGGGGACACGAAGGGAATGCGTATGGGGCCACGAAGAGCGCAAACGAGCGGGGGCCACGAAGGGCAGGTAGATGCGGGGCCACGGAAGGCAACGATTGGGCCACTGAGGGTAGCAACTGGGCCACGTAGGACAGTGAAGGGGCCACAAACGGCGACAGCGGGGAAACGAAGGGCGTGCACATGGAGCAACAACGGGCGCGAACGAGCGGGGGCCACGAAGGGCATACGTATGTTGGGCAGCGGAGGGCAAGGACGGGGCCACTAAGGGCAGCAACGGGGCCACGAAGGGCAGCGAGGGGGCCACGCAGGGCGACAGCGGGGCCACGAAGGGCATGCATAAGGGGCCACCAAGGGCGCGAACGAGCGGGGGCCACGAATGGCATACATAGATGGGGCCACGAAGGGCAGCGAGGGGGCCACGAAGGGCTGCAACGGGGCCACGAAGGGGAGCGAGGGGGCCACGAAAGGCTTCAACGGGGCCACGAAGGACTGCAACGGGGCCAGGGCAGCGACGGGGCCACGAAGGGCTGCAACGGGGCCACTAAACAAAGCGAGGGGGCCACAAGGGGCTGCAACGGGGCCACGAAGGGCAGCGAGGAGGCCACGAGGGGCTGCAACGGGGCCACGAAACAAAGCGAGGGGGCCATGAAGGGCTGCAACGGGGCCACGAAACAAAGCGAGGGGGCCACGCAGGGCTGCAACGGGGCCACGAAGGGCAGCGAGATCCCGATTCTTAGGTAATCTGTGAGGGAGCCCTAAGCGTGAGCGCGACTCCTGGGCGCCTGGGTGCAACAACAACAACAACGACGACGACGACGACGACGACGACGTCGTGGCAACAAAAAATTAAAAATAAAAAATACACAAAAAAATTAAACAAAAAATAACAAGAAAAAGGAAAAAAAAGAAGAAGAAAAGAAAAAATAAAAAGTAAAATGATATACAAAAAATAAAAAAAAAAATCAAAAAAAAAAAGAAATAAAAAAAACAAAACAAAGCAATACACAAACTCAACAAAAAATGCAAAACAACAAAAAAACCCCCCAAACAACCCCGCCACCACCCAACCCACCCTACCCCCCCCTCCTACCAACCACCCCACGCCCCCACGCCAAACCCTCCCCCCCCACCCCCCGCCTCCCACACGCATTGGCCCCGCCCTCTCCTCCGGGGCTCCCGGCAGGGCCGCCGGGCCGCTCCATGGAGTGGATCTGCGGCGGGTGATCCCGGGTGACCCGGGGGGCGGTCGTTTCAAGAGCAGCGCCGCGGGCAAGAAGCGGCCCCCTCCATCCGTCGATCCTCCTCCTCCTCCTCCTCCTCCTCCTCCTCCTCCTCCTCCTCCTCCTCCTCCTCCTCCTCCTCCTCCTCCTCCTCCTCCTCCTCCTCGATGGAGCGGCAGGGGGAAGCGGTCAGCGGGTAGAGGAGCAAGGAGCGTGCGAGGCACAGGAAGGCTGCAGGAACGGTGACGGGGTTACCAAAGGAGAAGGCAAGGGAGAGGGAAATGATGGAGGCACAGAGACGGGATGGCGACGCAGCACACGGGGGAGAATGTGCGTGTGCGTGTGCGTGTGCGTGTGCGTGCGCGTGCGCGTGCGCGTGCGCGTGTGGGTGTGCGTGTGCGTGTGCGTGTGCGTGTGCGTGTGCGTGTGCGTTTGCGTGTGCGTGTGCGTGTGCGTGCGCGTGCGTGCGCGTGTGTACGTGTGTTTGTGTGTTTGTGTGCTTGTGTGCGCGTGTGCGCGTGTGCGCGTGTGCGTGCGTGCGTGCGTGCGTGTGTGCGTGTGTGCGTGTGTGCGTGTGTGCGTGTGTGCGTGTCTGCGTGTGTGCGTGTGTGCATGTGTGCATGAGAACCCGTGTGCGTGTGTGCGTGTGCGTGTGTGCGTGTCTGCGGGTGTGCGTGTGTGCGTGTGTGCGTGTGTTGCGCGTGTGCATGTGTGTGCCGTGTGTGCTGCGTGAGTGTGTGTGTGTGTGCATGTGTGCATGTGTGTCGTGTGTTGCGTGTGTGCGTGGGTGCGGCGAGTGCGTGTGTGCGTATGTGTGTGCTGTAGTGTGTGTTTATGTGTGCGTGTGTGGCGTGTGTGTCCGTGTGTGCGCGAGCGTGTTGTGCGAGTGCGCGGTGTGCGCAGTTTGGTGTGTGCGTGTGTGCGTGTGCGTCTTGTGCGTGTGGCGGATGTGTTGCGTGTGTGTGTGTTTGTGGGCGTGTGTCGTGTGTTTTGCCTTGGTGTGTGTGTGGTGTGTGTGTGTGTTTGTGTGCGTGTGTGCGTGTGTGCGTGTGTGCGTGTGTGCGTGTGTGCGTGTTGAGTTTGTGTGTGCGTGCGTGTGTGCGTGTGTGTGTGCGCGTGCGTGTGCGTGCGCGCGCGTGTGCGTGTGTGTGTGCGTGCGTGCGCGTGTGCGTTTGCTTGTGTGCTTGTGTGCTTGCGTGTGCTTGTGTGCGCTTGTGTGTGCTCGTGTGTGCTTGTGTGCTTGTGTGTGTCTGTGTGTGGTGTGTGTGGTGAGTGGTGTGTGGTGTGTGTGGTGCGTGTGGTGCGCGTGGTGCGTGTGCGCGTGTGCGTGCGTGCGCGTGCGCGCGTGCGGGCGCGTGTGCGCGTGCGTCTCCGTGCACGCGTGCGCGCGCGCGTGCGCGAGTGCGCGTGCGCGTGCGTGCGCGCGCGCGTATGCGCGCATGCGCGTGCGTGTGCAAGTGCGCGTGCGCGCGTGTGTGCGTGTGCGTGTGCGTGTGTGCGCGTGTGCGCGTTTGCGTGTGCGTGTGCGTGTGCGTGTGCGCGTGCGTGTGCGTGTGCGCGTGCGTGTGCGCGTGCGTGTGCGCGTGCGTGTGCTTGTGCGTGTGCGTGTGCGCGTGCGTGTGCGCGCGCGTGCGCGTGCGCGTGTGCGCGTGCGCGTGCGTGTGCGTGTGCGTGTGCGTGTGCGCGTGCGTGTTTGCGCACGGGTGCTTGTGCGTGCGCGTGTGCGCGCGGGTGTGCGTGTGCGCGTGCGTGTGCGTGTGCGTGTGCGTGCGCGCGTGCGTGTGCGCGCGTGCGTGTGCGTGTGCGCGTGCGTGTGCGTGCGCGTGTGTGTGTGAGTGCGCGTGTGTGGTTGTGCGGCGGTGCGCCGTGCGTGCGTTGCGCGTGCGTGCGTGCGAGCGTGCGTGCGTGCGTGCGCGCACGTGCTTGTGTGTGTGTGTGCGCGTGCCTGCGTGCGTGCGTGCGTGCGTGCGTGCGCGCGTACGTGCGCGTGCGCGTGTATGTGCGTGCGCGTGCGCGTGCGCGTGCGCGTGTGCGCGTGGGCGCGCGCGTGCGTGTGCGCGGGCGCCTGCGCGTAGCCGAGGCGCGCGTGCGCGCGCTGCGCGCGCGCGCGTCGGCGCGCGCGGCGGGGCACGGCACGCACGAGCGTAGGCACGGCGCGGCGCAGGGCGCGGGCGCGTGCGCGCGCGCGTGCGAGCGCGCGCGCGCGCGCGCTGATCGTGCGCGCAGCGCGCGCGTGAGCGCGCCGTGCGCGTGTGAGTGCGCGTGCGCGCGCGTCTGCGCGTGCGTGCGCGTGCGCGCGCGTGCGCGTGCGCGTGCGCGTGTCCATGCGCGCGTGCGCGTGCATGTGCGTGTGCGCGTGCGTGCGTCTGCGCGTGCGTGTGCGCGCGCGTGTGCGTGTTCTTGTGCGTGTGCGTGCGCGTGTGCGCGTGCGCCTGCGTGTGCGCGTGCGTGCGCGTGTGCGTGTGCGCGCGCGTGCGCGTGCGCGTGCGCGCGCGCGTGCGCGTGTGCGTGTGCGGTGCGTGCGTGTGCGTGTGCGTGTGCATGTGCGTGTGCGTGTGCGCGTGCGCGTAGGCGTGTTACGCGTGCGGCGTGTGCTAGTGGCCGAAGAAGTCGTGCGTGCGCGCGTGCGCGTGCGGTGCGCGTGTGCTGTGCGTGCGCGTGTCCGTGAGCGGGTGCGCTGTGAGTGTTGCGTGTCGTGTGCGTGTGCGCGTGCAGTGGGCGCGTGCGTGGTCGTGTGCGTGTGCCGGTGCGTGAGCGTGAGCGTGAGCGTGTGCGTGTGCGCGTGCGCGGCGCGGCGCGTGCGTGTGCGCGTGCGCGTGCGTGCGCGTGCGCGTGTGCGCGTGCGTGTCGTGTGCGTGCGCGTGTGCGTGTGCATGTAAGGGTGCGTGTGCGTGTGCGTGTGCGTGTGCGTGTGCGTGTGCGTGCGCGTGCGCGCACGCGTGGGCGTGGGCGCGGGCGCACGCGTGGGCGCGCGCGCGCGCGTGCGCGTGGGCGCGGGCGCGGGCGCGGGCGCACGCGTGGACGCACGCGCGGGCGTGGGCGTGGGCATGGGCGCACGCGTGGGCGCGGGCGCGCGCGCGCATGCCCTTTCGAGTGAGTGCGCGCGTGCGCGAGCGCGTGTACGTGCACGCGCGCGTGCGCGTGCGCGTGCGCGTGCGTGTGCGTGTGCGTGTGCGTGCGCGCGTGCGTGTGCGTGCGCGTGTGCGTGTGCGTGTGCGTGGGCGTCGGCGTGGGCGTGGGCGTGGGCGTGGGCGTGTGCGCGTGCGCGCTGATGCGCGCGCACGCGCACGTGCGCGCGCGGGTGCGCGTGCGCGCGCGCGTGCGCGCGCGAACGCGTGCGCGTGCGCGTGCGCTTGCGCGCGCGCGGTGCGCGTGCGCGCGTGCGTGCGCGTGCGCGTGCGCGTGCGCATGCGTTGTGCGTGCGCGTGTGCGTGTTCGCGTGTGCGTGTGCGTGCGCGTGTGCGTGTGCGTGTGCGTGTGCGTGTGCGTGTGCGTGTGCGTGCGCGTGTGCGCGTGCGTGTGCGTGATCGCGGGCGGTTGCGTGTGCGTTTGCCGTTGCGGTTGCGGTTGCGGTTGCGTGTGCGCGCGCGTGTGCGCGCGCGTGCGTGCGCGTGTGCGCGCGCGTGTGCGCGCGCGGACGCGTGCGTGTGTGTGCGCATGCATGCGTGCATGCGTGCGTGCGTGCATGCGTGTGCATGCGTGTGCGTGTGTGTGTGCGTGTGTGTTCGCACGTGCGTGCGTGCGTGGCTTCGTGGTTGCCTGCGTGCCTGCGTGCGTGCGTGCGTGCGTGCGTGCGTGCGTGCGTGCGCGCGTGCGTGTGTGCGTGAGCGTGTGTGTGACTGCGCGTGTGCGCGTGTGCGCGCGTGCGCGTGCGCGTGTGCGTGTGCGTGTCTGTGCGTATGTGTGCGTGTGCGTGTGCGTGTGCGTGTGCGTGTGCGTGCAGGCGTGCGTGTGCATGTGCCTGTGCGTGTGCCTGTGCGCATGCGCGTGCGCGCGTGCGTGTGCGTGCGCGCGTGCGTGTGCGCGGGTGCACGTGCGCGCGCGCGTGCGTGCGTGCGTCTGTGTGTGCTTGTGTGCGTGCGTGCGCGCATGCGTGCGTGCGTGCGTGCGTGTGCTCAGGCGCGTGTGTGTGTGCGCGTGCGTGTGTGCGTGTGTGCGCGTGCGTGTGTGTGCGCGTTCACGCGTGCGTGTGCGCGTGCGTGTGTTTGTGGCGCATGTGCGTGGCGTGTGTGTGTGTGTGGCGTGCGTGCGTGGCCTGTGTCTGGCGTGCGTGGCGCGCGTGCGTGGCGCGTGCGTGGCGTACGTGGCGTGCGTGGCGTGCGTGGCGCGCGTGGCGTGCGTGGCGTGCGTGGCGTGCGTGGCGCGCGTGGCGTGTGGGGCGTGTGTGGCGTGTGTGGCGTGTGCGGCGTGTGCGGCGCGCGTGGCGTGTGTGGCGCGTGTGGCGCGCGTGGCGTGCGTGGCGCGCGTGGCGAGCGCGGCGCGCGTGGCGTGCGCGGCGCGCGCGGCGCATAGCGGCGCGCGCGGCGCGCGCGCGCGCCGGCGCGCGCGCCTGCGTGGCGCGAGCGGCGCGCGTGGAGTGCGTGGCGCGCCGCGGCGCGCGCGGCGCGCGTGCGTGCGGTGGCGCGCGCAGGCGGCGAGGGCGCGCGTGGCGCGCCGCCGGCGCGCGCGCGCGCGCGGCGCGCGCGGCGTGCGCGGCGTGCGCGGCGCGCGCGGCGCACGTAGCGCGCGTGTCGCGCGTGGTCGTGGCGTAGCGCCGTGCGGCGTGCGCGGTCGTGTGTGGCGGTGCGTGGGCTGTGTGACGCGTGAGCGAAAAGTGTGGTGCGTGTGTGTGCGTGCGTGCGCGCGCGCGTGCGGGCGCGAGCGCGCGCGTGTGCGCGCGTGTTTGGCGCGCGCTGCGTCCGCCGCGCGCGCGTGTCGCGCGCGCGTGCGCATAAAGCGCGCGTGGGTGGGCACGCGCGCTAACGAGTGCGCGCGCGCGCAGTGCGCGTGCG